TTTGTATGTTATATAGTATTTATTGAATGGTTTGTATCTTGAGTATATATTTATTGAATATCACTGAAAATTGTCCTTGATTTAAACATTTTTAGCTCCATGATTTAAAGTAAAAACTTGATACATTGTTGCAGTTTGGAATTTGCGTGCATCTCATTAGCATATCATTAACTAATTTGCATATTTTGCGTGCAGGCACTTTGAGATTTTAGACAATGCTTCAAGCGGTAGAAGAGGTTTCTAGCGGAATCCTGTTCGAGGTAACAAAGATGACGGTGCAGAGTGCATGTGTTTCTGCAATGTTTAAAAACAACATATCATTGGCGATTGTGATTTAGTTTCTAAAATAATCGTCTATGAATCATTTATAAACATTATTTATTTGTGTATTTTGTCACCCAAAAGTCAGATAGCAATGATCGCAACATCAGCTGACAATGTTACGGTGATCGTATCGTTAAGCAAGAGGTATAAGGTCAATAAACAATCGCAGACTTTAGTATTGAAGTGCCATTGTAGAAAATAAAATGTTGTCATTATTGATTTATTAATTTCATCATATTTTGATAACTCGCAATCTCACAGACTTTACAAATTTAACCAAAAAATGTTTTCCCCCCCACGTCATATGAACTGACAGTGACATGGGCACTAAAACTGACTGTTCTTGTTGTACACACACAATAATGATGAACCAGTTATCTCCATGGATAAACGATATATTTACTGACTGGCTATAGGTATTTCCATTTTTTTTGCTGTTCTATTTCAAACTTTATTTGACTTGATACACACATAAAATATAATAAGTAAAATGATATAAAATATACGAGATATAAAATTATCTCTCTATTGTAATTATTGTATCAATATTTGTTGGGGAAACTAATTATTAGGCAAACATAATTATTCAAATTAGATAAATTGTTATGCAAATTAAGCAAGGTGCTTGTCATGGAGTCTGGGGAGAACACTATAATTGTTCTACCTTTTTCCTAGATATGCTTTTATAGATTAATGGGTTGTTTTCGGATTTTGATCAATTTTAACCACCTGACAGTGATTTTCATCATTAAAAACTTGAACTTTGCACATGGCATCAACCATTTCTCTGGCATGTCTAGGCCATATTTATTTGAACTTGATAGGAACACCACACATGCTTTTTTGATACATACAAGTTTGCTTTGTGATTTGATTCAAAATGGCTGACTGGTGACCATGTTGCTTTTACTATTTCTTTGACATACTTTGTTCAAAAAAGTTGGGTAACACATAATTATACTGAATACTCTTCTATCATTTAATTATAATATACTTTTTTCATTGTTTATATTTCACCCAGTCACTAAAACCTGGACAATGACTTCTTTAAAACAAAATTTAATTTCAAATTTATTATTATATATTTCAGGATTTTTCAAGATTCTGAGAGGAGTTGATGAGTGTGGCATCGAAAGTCAGATAACAGCGGGATCGCCAAAACTGTAGTTTGGTTTTGTTTCCTTCCATATCAGCCTTGTTTGCATGGCTATCCTTCATGTATCTTGCATATACATGTATCAACAATAATTATAAGCAGATGATTTTCTATGTCCTTAATAACTTGTTTGCAATTCCTGTGGAAATGATTGTATGCACATTTTGTATGCCATTAATGTTGCCATCTTACAGATGTACAGTACTTCATGGTAGAATGCTACTTGTGAGATTTTTACATGTGAGCAAATGGCAATAATTCATGTCACATTTCGTCTACAATTTATCATTTTATTATTAGTATGTGAACTTTTTCACTTCACTGTCAATCTGTTTTTTTTTTAGAAAAAATGTAAAATAATAAGCATAAAATGTAAGATACTATATAACTGTTTTTTTTCACCATATATCACTATGAAAATTCCAAGATATTGAGATATACTATTATCCTTGCCATGGGAAACGATGGTAAAATTCCCCAAATCAGACAAAACATGATATTTTCATCCCATTTTGTACATTCTTCATTTTTCTTCGAACGAAGTATGATGACCCCCA